GCTTGTGTGGTGGATGAGGCAGAAAAACAAAACGGCCAGCGGCAAAAAAGCCTCTTCTTAAAGGGGCCGTGCTGATTTTTAATTTTTTTTATTTTTGTTTTCCTCAACAGACTTTTTTTCCTGGTGGGTTTTTTTTTTGGGGTGGGGGGGGGAGTTCGGTATTTTTGGTTAAACCATCTGGCAGCCCTGTCTCCTGTTCTGCACCCTCGGGAGCAATGGAAGCTGGGGAAGGAGTCACTGTAGTGGACAGGGAGATAAGGCCACATGTTCAGCACTCCGGATCCCAACTGCTTGGGCCAGGACGTGTCTGGGGGTGGGGAACCTGAAAATATCTTGGCCCCGCCCCTTCTGCTCGATGCCCCGCCCCTTCCTTCAAAACTTTCCGAAGTGGCCCCCGGCAAAAAGTTATTGCCCACCCCTGTTCCACGCTCTGGCTTCCAGTCTCAGCTGTTCCTGTCGGGGGATCCAGAGGGAAGAGCACTCTTCCAGGCCTTTCCCCATGTGGTTCTCTTGCTCAAGCTCTTTCTACGCCTCTTATAACCATATTCCTTCTCTGAGGGGCTATTCCCCCAGCCCCTGATCAGCAGGTCGCGGAGCCGAGCTGACCCGTCCGTGCTCTGTACCTCGGCATGTGGCACCGCTCTGCCGAGTGCTTCTTGGGCGTCTCAGGCCTGACAAGGCTGGCTTCCATCCAGGGGCTGGTCTGCAGGGGCGCGTGCTCCTGCTCGGGGCCTTCGCACTGTGTGAGTGGCAGCCCTGTGTGCTGCAGGGGAGGGGCAGAGCAGGTGGGCAGGGCCAGGGAGCTGTGTGGCGTGTCCGGCACCATGAGCTGCTGGGCAGCAGGATGACTGGGAGCCTGGGTTTCTTCTGAAAGAGAACAAGGCGAGGGGTGAAAGCGGTACAGGAAATAGGTGTCCACCTGTCACCGTTTCTCCAGCTCTGGACTTTGACCACCCTGGCCTGGAGCCCATCCCCACAGTGGTCCTGAGCCCACACGTTATGATGGCGCTGGGGTTCCCACCTCTCTGCAAGGGAGCTGTCAGTGCAAATGATGGTTAGGAGTGAGCCCTGCGGGGCAGGGCACACAGCACACTGTGTGAGGGGCAGCCCTGTGTGCTGCAGGGGAGGGGCAGAGCAGGTGGGCAGGGCCAGGGAGCTGTGTGGCGTGTCCGGCACCATGAGCTGCTGGGCAGCAGGATGACTGGGAGCCTGGGTTTCTTCTGAAAGAGAACAAGGCGAGGGGTGAAAGCGGTACAGGAAATAGGTGTCCACCTGTCACCGTTTCTCCAGCTCTGGACTTTGACCACCCTGGCCTGGAGCCCATCCCCACAGTGGTCCTGAGCCCACACGTTATGATGGCGCTGGGGTTCCCACCTCTCTGCAAGGGAGCTGTCAGTGCAAATGATGGTTAGGAGTGAGCCCTGCGGGGCAGGGCACACAGCACAGCACAGAGCGCTCAGCCCCGGCCACCACGCAGCAGAGCGAGAGCTCCAATCCCGAACCTTTTGCACACACCAAGTCTGGTGGTCCTTCTCTCCCGCACCCTCCAGCCTGCATGCTGCTTCCGAATGCAGTCCCATGCCTGAGCACACGATCAGTCCCTCACAGAAGTGACTGCTCTTTAATTGCCTCTTTGCTCCATTTCTCTTGCCCTGCTTGTGCTGCCTCAGGGCCTGGTGGGACAAGGGCCTTGGTGCCCTCTTTGCTGTGCATTATACATGTCTCTGATCTGCCTGGTGACCACTTGGTGGGGACTAAAAGGACAGCAACTACTGAGCCAGCCAATGTTGGACAGTCCGCCCAACCCCTGAGCTTTCTACGGGACAGTCAGTCCTAGCTGTCTGCTCACTGTTGCTGCCAGATGTTGGACAGATCCTGGCTCCACTGGAACTTCTCCCAGAGCTCCCCTCTCCGCTTCAGGCCTGCTAGATTGCTTCAGTTAATGGCTCAAAAGAACTGTTCCGTTCTCCTTTGCACTGCTCCCAGCTAGAGCTGTGGGCAACATGGTTTCTTCTCCCTCGAACACTTTCAAGAGTTTGAAATTTTTCCCATTTTGAATTGGGACAAGAAGTCAAACTCTTGAAAACATTAGGCGACCAAAAACTACAAACCGTTTTGGTTTGGGCGACTCAATACATTGTGTTTTCATTTTCGAGGTGGTTTTCAGTGGTTATTGTGAAACATTTTCTTTCGGTTTCCACTTGCTTCTCTTTTTTACTGTTTGTTTTGTCTACTGAGCTTACATGTTGAAACCAAAAGTCTTTTGGAGTCAGAAAAACAGAATTTTTCATTTGGAAAATCTAAAAATAAAACACTTCAACAATTTTGAAACTTTGCCCTATGTTTTTCTGAACAGGAGATTCGCTGAATCTAAATTGGCTCTACTAATGGCTTTGCTGGGCTCAAATTGATTTGTGCAGACCCTCCCTGCCCTACCCACGACAGCCCTTGGGTGGGAGAAGGCACCAGGAACTTGGGGCGGGGGGCAGACAGGAGTGTACAGTGGAGACAGCAGCTGTTTGCTTCACTTTCCTTCTTGGGTCAGTTTCTCACTGGGAGAAACTGGAGAGGGTAGGCCACTCAGGGTATGTCTAGACCAGTGGTCCCCAATGCGGTGCCCGTAGGCGCCATGGTGCCTGCCGGGGCATTTATGTGCGCCTGCTGACTGATCTGAGCCAGCCCCGCCCCTGGCACGTGGCACATGCGTGATGCCGGCCCCGGGAGCGTGGTGCATGGGCGGCCCTTGCCCTGGGTGCGTGGCACATGCGTGGCCCCCGCCCTTGGATGCGCGGCACCTGGGCGCCCGGCAGCCCCAAAAGTTTGGGGACCACTGATCTAGACTGTGTTGCTATTTTGGGATACTGGAAGTATTCCGAAATAGCAACGCCATGTCTTTAAAAGCTTAGTTTGAAATTTGGCATTCTATAGACAGCTCCTAATTTCAAATAAACCTCTTTCGACTTAGACTCGGAATAAACCATGCACTGTGCCTTGTGCAAATGACGTAGCTTATTCCGACAGAAAGGTGCCATCTAGACACACCCTAAGGGTGCTGCCAGGGATGACCACGCAGGCATGGTTCTCCTCTCACTCACACTGGCATCACTCAGGAGTAACTGCACCTGGTGGATTCCGCTCCCAGGCACTGCAGAGGGGAACTGAAGCCCTGTGCTTTTAGCTGGAAGAACAGACTACCTCTAGGAAGTGCAGCAGGAGGCCCAGGAAAGTGGCATAGCCACCAGCTGTTCTTTGGGGAGATAATGTAGCTTCCACTCCTGCTCAAGAGTTTAACTTCATCATCAGGGGAGTCAGGGAGAACACGCCTCCATGCTCATGCCTCCAAGGGGCAGCGGAGCCTAGTGCTCCCCTCAAGAACAGCTGTTAGTGAACAACTGCAGAGCTGGCCCATTCGATTGCCCCCACCCAACTGGAGATCTTGGGGGCTACCTGAGATCCCACCTGGGCATGAAGCTGTAGCAGCAGCCCACAGCTCATGCCCCTTCTGGGGGGTCAGGGCAGGCTTGCTGTTCCCTGTACAGCTCCACCAAGGAGATCAGTGTCTCAGCACCTACTCCCAGCCAACATGCCAGCCATCAGAGCAGGACAAATCATCATATAGGCCCAGCCACACCGAGCTCCAAGCAGGGCCCTTTGCTCCTGGGAGTCGGGCACGCTGGAGAGCAGTGGGGATGTGGCCGGGGATCATGGCCACTCTCACTAGCACTGAGCAGGCAGGGAGGGAGCGGTGGGCCAAGCGCTGGCTGCACGCACAGCTCACCACTGGGGGCTGTGTTGCTTGGCCTGGGCTCCTGCGCAGCCACCGTGCGGCACTCGTTGACAGCACTCTCCAGCTCCTTCAGCTTCCTCTCCTCCTTCAGCACCAGGTTCTTCCGATGCTTCTTAATGTGCTTGCTGAGATTCTCTTCCCGGTAGAGGTGACGCGTAGCCGCGGCGATCTGCAGCTGCAGGGCCAGGTCTCTCTCCAGTATGCTCAGTGGGTCCTAGGTGGGAAGAGGATACAGGCCATGGAGTGGCACGGGGAGCTACCCTCCCCCCCTCCAAACAGGAATGTTAAAAATTGTTTAATACGGTAACCATGTCATTGCTAATATTCTTAGCGGTTACCCATGTGGGTTCTGCAGAATAAAGCTACAGCGAAGCCACCTCTCTGGGAGCCAGCTGAGTTTAACCGATACTATTAATCAATAATGATCCGTTGAACAGGTAAACGGCTAGTCGGTTAAACTCTAAGGGTATGTCTACACTACTACCCTAGTTCGAACTAGGGTGGTTAATGTAGTCAACCGGAGTTGCAAATGAAGCCCGGGGTTTGAATTTCCCGGGCTTCATTTGCATGTTGCCGGGTGCCACCATTGCATTTTTAAATGCCGGCTAGTTCGGATTCTGTGCCCACGGCTACACGCGGCACAGATTAGGTAGTTCGGATTAGGCTTCCTATTCCGAACTACCTGCACACCTCGTTCCACCTCGGGCTTCATTTGCAACTCTGGTTGACTACATTACCACCCTAGTTCGAACTAGGGTGGTAGTGTAGACATACCCTAAGAAATGTTTCTAAGGAATGATAGAAGGGACAAAACCAAGATAAAGACAATGGATTTCCGGAAGGTAGATTTTAGTAAACGAGAGCTGGTAGGTAAGGTCCCTACCCAAGACCAAGAGGAAAAAGAATTGAAGACAGTTGGCAGTTTTTCAAGGGGACTTTTATTAAGAGCCCAAGAGCAAACTATTCCACTGCATAGGAAAGATAGAAAGTATGGCAGGGTACCACCCTGGCTTAACCAGGAGATCTTCTTACATGATCTAAAAATAAAAAAGGAATCGTATAATCAAAAAGTGGAAATTAGGTCAAAGTCAAAAAGTGGAAACTACGTCCGAGTACAATGGATGAATCTAAGCAAATAACACAAGTATGTAGGGGCAAAATTAGAAAGATAAAGGCACAAAACGAGCTCGGTCTAGCTAGAGACATAAAAGGTAACAAGAAAACATTCTACAAATATATTGGAAGGAAGAGGAAGGCCTAAGAAAGGTAGGCTCATTGCTCAATGACAAGGGAGAAACAGTAACAGAAAATTTGGAAATGGCAGAGGTGCTTAATGTCTTCCTTTCAGTTTTCACCAAGAAGGTTGATGCTGAAGGGATTCTTAATATAGTGAATGATAATGGAAATGGCTTAGGTTCGTAAGTTAAAATAGGAGAAGAATAAGTTTAAAATTACTTAGAAAAGTTCAATGTTTTCAAGTCACCAGGGCCTGATGAAATGCATCCTAAAATACTCAAGGAACTGATAAAGGAGGTAACTGAGCCTTTAGCTAGCATCTTTGAAAAGTCATGGAAGTCAAGAAACATTCCAAAAGACTCGAAAAGGGCAAATATAGGGCCCATCTATAAAAAGAGAAATAAGAACAACCCAGAAAATTACAGAGTAGTCAGCTTAACTTCTGTGCCAGGAAAGATAATGGAACAAATAATTAAGGAATTCATCTGCAAACATCTGGAAGAAAAGAAGGTGATAGGTAACAGCCAGCATGGATTTGTAAAGAACAAATCATGTCAAACCAATCTGATAGCTTTCTTTGATAGGATAACAAGTCTTGTGGATAAGGGGGAAGTGGTGGACATGTTATACCTAGACTTTAGTAAGGCATTTGACACAGTTTCACATGACCTTTTTATCAATAAAGAAGGCAAATACAACCTAGATGGGGCTACGATAAGGTGGATGCATAACTAGCTGGATAACTGTTCTCAGAGAGTAGTTATTAATGGTTCACAGTCATGCTGGAAGGGCATAACAAGTAGGTTCCGCAGGGGTCTGTTTTGGGACCGGTGTGGAGAGGGTGAATAAAGAAAAGTTATTTATTAGTTCCCATAATAGAAGAACTAGAGGACACCAAATGAAATTAATGGGTAGCACGTTTAAAACTAATAAAAGAAAGTTCTTCTTCACACAGCGCGTAGTCAACCTGTGGAACTCCTTGCCAGAGGAGGCTGTGAAGGCTAGGACTATAACAGAGTTTAAAGAGAAGCTAGATAATTTCATGGAGGTTAGGTCCATAAAAGGCTAATAGCCAGGGGATAAAATGGTGTCCTTGGCCTCTGTCTGTCAGAGGCTGGAGAGGGATGGCAGGAGACAAATTGCTTGATCATTGTCTTTGGTCCACCCTCTCTGGGGCACCTGGTGCTGGCTGCTGTCAGCAGACAGGCTACCGATTGTCAGAGGCTGGAGAGGATGGCAGGAGACAAGTCACTTGATTATTGTCTTCGGTCCACCCCTTCTGGGTCACCTGGTGCTGGCCACAGGCGGCAGACAGGCTACTGGGCTAGATGGACCTTTGGTCTGACCAGTACGGCCGTTCTTATGTTCTTATGTTCTGTTCTATAGCTTCATCAATAATTTAGATATTGGTATAGAGAGAATGCTAAGTTTGCAGATGATACCAAGCTGGAAGTTCTTTGGAAGATAGGATCGAAATTCAAAATGACCTAGACAAACTGGAGAAATGGTCTGAGGTCAATAGGATGAAGTTGAATAAGGACAAATGCAAAGGGCTCCACTTAGGAAGGAACAATCAGTTTCACGCATACAGAATGGGAAGTGACTGCCTAGGAAGGATACGTCAGAAAGGGATCCAGGGGTCATAGTGGACCAGTAGCTAAATATGAGTCAATAGTATGACACCGGGGCAAAAAAAAGCCAGCATGATTCTGGGCTGCATGAACAGGAGTGTGGTGAGCAAGACACAAGAAGTCATTCTTTCGCTCTGCTCTGCGCTGATTAGGACACAGTGGGAGCATTACCTGAGCACTGACCAGGGCAGCACTGCTCTCGTCTCTACCCAGGGCACTACGGCAAAGGGGCTCAGAGCCCAGCCCCCAGGCAATGAAACTTTAAGAATCCAGGGCAGAGACGCTGAGAGAGTCCAAGGCAGAGCAGGTATATGAACTATGTCCAAGGCTGGTGCCCTGACTGCTAGGCAAGACTTCCTCTAAAAGGGGCCCTTTCGCCATAGCAAGGAGTGCCAGAATGATTTAGGCGCGGGAGAGAGACCACAGCTGGGCCACTGCACGGGCAGGGTGATTGCTGCTTACTGGTCTCTCCTGAGGCACTGATGCAGTTCCCAAAACGGCTGAGAGCCTCCTGGCTCAGCA